TCAGCGTGCGTGCAGCTAACCACAGCAAAACACAGTTTTTCCTGCATCGTAGATAGAGTCGCCCCCCTCGGACCCAGCAGCAGAGCAGCAGAGCAGCAGTACCAGAGCACCGGAAGCAGAGCAACGGCAGCAGAGCAGCGGCAGCAGAGCAGCGGCAGCAGAGCAGCGGCAGCAGAGCAGCGGAAGCAGAGCAGCGGCAGCAGAGCAGCGGCAGCAGAGCAGCGGCAGCAGAGCAGCGGCAGCAGAGCAGCGGCAGCAGAGCAGCGGCAGCAGAGCAGCGGCAGCAGAGCAGCGGCAGCAGAGCAGCGGCAGCAGAGCAGCGGCAGCAGAGCAGCGGCAGCAGAGCAGCGGCAGCAGAGCAGCGGCAGCAGAGCAGCGGCAGCAGAGCAGCGGCAGCAGAGCAGCGGCAGCAGAGCAGCGGCAGCAGAGCAGCGGCAGCAGAGCAGCGGCAGCAGAGCAGCGGCAGCAGAGCAGCGGCAGCAGAGCAGCGGCAGCAGAGCAGCGTCAGCAGAGCCTGGGGGCGAAAGGGCAACTACGCCGAGTGCGTTGGTGTCAGTGCTCCGGTATACTGGGCTGCCGTCATGGAATGCCCAGCTGCTGCAGTTCTCAGTCGGTCGTATTCACCGTCTGCTCCGCAAGGGCAACTACGCCGAGCGCGGCCACAACATTATCAAGCAAGAGTTTAACGTACGTATGCGAGTATCTGACACCTCTGATATTTCCTGTTCTACTATATAAGCGTCCAACAAGGTCGCCCGTTCCATCAGCCCAACAAAACGGCCCTTTTCAGGGCCACCAAACTTTCGCAAAAGAGTTATTGAGGAATATTCCTAAAATATAATATACACAATTAAGTACAACACATAACAGACGTTATCCAACGCCAACCCTGCGGTCGTATCTAGTATACAACCCTTCCAACTTTTTGCAGGCAACTTGGCCTCCATAAATGCTGCCATAAATCTGAACGGGTTAGGATCAAGCAAAATGGCTTTAGATAAATGCAATTCAGGCTGCAAGTTTTCTTCATAAAAGCTATTTTAAAACCTAATGAATTTCTTAAGGATTTCTTGAAATCAAAACAACTTTTTCACAAATGACCCATGAAAATCAACTTTTATGTCACCGCCATGTTACTATTCGTTTGCTTGTTTTTTACAACCTTCGATTTTCAATATAACTATGTTTTTGGTAAATTTAGCAATGAGCAAACATTTAAATGTGAAAATCATAAAAAAAAATCTCGGCCTACCTCGGTCTGAAGAATATTTTTTTTTTGCAATGTAAAATAATTAGTCAAATCCACGTTTTACGAGGGCGGACGTATTTTTTTCGATGTTTTCACGTACATTTCACATAAAATTTAATAAGGCACTTAAAACTAGGCCGCTTAATGAGAACTTTTGTAATAAATTCGAATATTCAACAAGATTTTTATACCATCAGTTTCTATTTGAATTATATTGATAAGATCGGATTTTCTATCTTGATTAATGCTTACCTAGTGGATTTAGCAAGCGGCTAGGGGAAATGGCTCGGAAAGGGTTTTTATTGTTGCTAAATAGCTTTTGTTGTAGCTTTCAAATGGTCTCAATGCGTTCGTCATACAACCTTTTGCAGTAAATCAATCTTGAAGAGCTTCGAGAATACACCCTTCAGAACCTACTCCAGGGTGGGCCAACTAGACATATTCTAGTCTTAATGAGGTTTTGGTGGATGCATTAATGACAAAATAGCCTTGACCAGAGTTTTATGAATGTTGATTTATAGTTGCTTTGTAGAATTTCATAAAACTTAAAATGTTACTTGGGAGGGTACATTTTCTATGAAAAAATGCCTCAATTACATGCTGTGTGAGCGAAGGCAAGCGGTGTGAGTCGCCTGTTCGTGAGTGACTGAATGTTTTTGATGGCTCTTTCATTGCCTCGTCCTTTGCCGTGCACCGAGATGTTTTTATGACAGGTGGGCAAGAACTCACGGTCTTCCAGTGTTGGTGAGTTCTTTGCCGTTAATGGCTCACTACTTGACTAGCCTATTGGTCCCAAGCAAACCATTAACGTACCCCATTCTAGTCGAAATTCTAGTACTACACAATGTTTGTTTTAATTCGCTATGAAAGTTTGACAGATAAAATGAGGGCTTCGTGGATTTTCCAATGTTTCGAGGAGTGAATCGATTAGCTTGGGACCAAAGATAGTACCAGAGCTGTGCCAAAAAGTTGAGTACGTTTCTTCGGCACCTTCTGGTCTTATAGTTATCTTGGAGTTACCTCTATGCTAGTATCATAGAGGTAACGCTAAGACAAGAAAGTCCCGAAAAAACGAGCTCAGTTTTTGGGCTCAGCTCTGGTACTCTCTTCGGTCCCAAGCTAATCGATGCACCCCACGAAACATCCACGAAACCCTCATTTTATCTGTCAAACTTTCATAGCTAATCAAAACAAACATAGTGTAGTACTAGAATTTCGACTAGAATGGGGTACGTTAATCGATTTGCTTGGGACCAATAGGCTAGTCAAGTAGTTAGCCAATTTAAAATCGTTAGTTTCCACCGGTTGCTACTACCATATATATCTGTCAAACTTTCGATCATTTTGCGTTTCACATTCCTATGTTCTTTATATTCAAGAATATCAAGTCGGGTAGAAATTTTCTTTTTTAACAGCATCATCGTGCAACCATAGAGGTCCCGAAGAAACGAGCTCAACTTTTTGGCTCAGCTCTGGTACTATCTTCGGTCCCAAGCTAATCGATTCACCCCTCGAAACCTAGGAAAATCCACTAAAACGCTGTCCAGACTGGAGAGTTATAACATGTTATAACGAGAGAGAGAAGGATTAGTATTTTCCATTTAATTCCACTACTTTATTTGCTTATCCTTGAAGTCGAGTATTAGTACAAGACACTGAAGAAGTCTGCACATTGTAGACGAAATACGCGTATCTGTCAGCAAAATAAAACGGTTTGCAAAGAAATGAAAAAAAAACGATCTTCGGGCAGGGCATCTTAATTCCTGCTCTTTTTTGGGTGCGATTAAGGGTGACCTGGGGGTATTGGTGTCCTGGTCCGGGATGCGAGGACCCGTCGGGGTGGGTGTCCGGGGGTTCCAGTTCAGTGGAACTGGTGCAAATTTGTGTTACTAGCGTCGTTTTGCCGTTTCTGCCACTGGTCCTCATACCGGTTTCTTTACATGTTCGGTATCGGAGGATCCGGAATGGATTCGGAATGGATTCGGAATGGATGGCCGGATGGCAAGCTGGGGCAACCTTTGCCGAATGTAACAAGAAGGAAATAAAAAGGCATGACACGCTAAAAACCGTTTACGCAAATCCTATATTGTTGAAATAAACATGCTTTTGAATTTAATTCAAACATAAATATTTTACTTTTAAACATTCTTTCAATTTACTTTGAATAATTCATATGTTTAGAGTATAAACATTTATATTTTTGTTTTAAATGAACAAAATTCGTATCCGTGAAGATAGCGCTATAACATGTTATAACCATAGAGGTAACTCTAAGACTAGTAGGTTCCGAAGAAACGTGCTCAACTTTTTGGCTCAGCTCTGGTACTATCTTCGGTCCCAAGCTAATCAATGCACCCCTCGAAACATTTTATCTGTCAAACTTTCATAGTGAATCAAAACAAACATAGTGTAGTACTGGAATTAATACTAGAATGGGATACGCTAATCGATTTGCTTGGGACCAATAGGCTAGTCAAGTAGTGAGCCAATTTAAAATCGTTAGTTTCCACCGGTTGTTATAACTCTGTAGTCTGAACGTACTATAACCAACAATCAATACGAAACTAACGATTTTAAATTGGCTCACTACTTGACTAGCCTATTGGTCCCAAGCAAACGATTAACGTATCCCATTCTAGTCGAAATTCTAGTACTACGCAATGTTTGTTTTGATTCGCTATGAAAGTTTGACAGATAAAATGAGGGGTTATTGGTTTTTCCTATGCTTCGAGGGGTGAATCGATTAGCTTGGGACCGAAGAGAGTGCCAGAGCTGAGCCAAAAAGTTGAGCACATTATTTCGGGACCTTCTAGTCTTAGAGTTACCTCTATGCTATAACCCCTCATTTTATGTGTCAAACTTTCACAGCGAATCAAAACAAACATAGTGTAGTACTGGAATTAATACTAGAATGGGATACGTTAATCGTTTGCTTGGGACCAATAGGCTAGTCAAGTAGTGAGCCAATTTCGAATCGATAGCTTCGTATTGATTGTTGGTGCAACTATGAATTATATTTATGAACTTTATCATTGAATCAATATGGCAGTACTTTTCCATTTGATTTCAGAGCAGAGACCCTAGTCAAGTGCGAAATCGCTCGGATTTTGTCTATACAACTGGTGCAATTTTTAACTGCTAATATTCTGTTATATTTGCCCAAAAAATAAGTGAGCTTTCTTCCGAAGCCAAAAATTAAACTCAACTTAAGATTGGTGATAACCCGAAATAATCACACTAATCCAGTCAGTAAGGTTTTACTGGGTTTTTTGAATTGCAGCACAATTCGGTAAAAATTTAGAAATCTGTGTAAAATTCAATAATGATAAAATTTATTCCAAACTTGTGCAGACTTAGTTCTGTTAACCCCATTTAATGATAGAAAATAAAATTTGTCTATTTAATTTATTCCTTACGTCATTTGGGTTTTTACCGACTTTGTCAGCAATTCACAAACCCAGTAAAAAAATACGTTTAAGTTTATCATAATCGTATTCCAGCCCAAGAAAAACATATTTCCATAGCGCACTGCTAAACCGGTCTGTAATCAAAAACCTAGACTCTCTGAGCCCTTTATCAACCAACTCGCTATGCTCAATGGTAAATATTTGTCCCACTCTATTCATACTGACCTTCTCATTTTTTTAAATTTCTGGTGGCTAATTTTGAGTGCAGCTCAGTCAGTTGTACACCGTTTGAAGCACACGACCTGCCTAGTGCCCTACCAGCTATCTACAAAGCAATCATTGAAATGTCATTCGACTACATCGAAATAGACGATCCTGTCTATAAGGCAACGTGCGAGGAACGTGGGCAGCGAGATTATGTTCTAGTCAAACCGAATGACTACAGTAAGGTACCCATTACGCTTTCCAACTGGGCACCCGAACTGTGCTGTTTGAACACGAGGTTCGTCTATCTCATCATCGTTTAAATTCTTACCCACCAATAAACAAAACGTTGATTCACAGGTATCAGACACTGGATCAAAGAATAAAAGATATGGAAATCAAACCAGACGACGTATGGTTGGTAACGTACCCGAAGAGCGGTACCACTTGGTGCCAGGAAATGATTTGGCTCATCTGCAACGACCTCGACTACGAGAAAGCTAATTCAATCAATTTGACCAATCGGTTCCCTTACCTGGAGTAAGTATAGTCCATCTGATTACTGATCAGTTAAAATTATTCAATTATTTTGTTAGAAAGGGAGGTCTACGCGATCTACCTCGTGGGATGGACCGCTTTCAGGAAGTTGACTCCTTGTCGTCTCCGAGGTTCATCAAATCCCATCTACCGGTTGCCTTGCTGCCGGATCAAATCTGGACCGTAAGGCCCAAGATGGTCTACGTTCGGAGGAATCCAAAATCGGTCGCTGTGTCTCTGTACCATCATTCGGTTTCGCTGACCCAATACAAGGGAACGATCGATCAGTTTGTGCAGTCGTTCATGAAGGAGCTGGAATACTACTCACCTTATCATCGACATGTGATTGAGTATCACCATTTGGATTGCCAGGACAATTTGCTACATCTATGCTACGAAGACATGAAGAAGGATCTCAAAAGCACACTGAAACGCGTAAGCGCCTTTTTCAATAAATCCTACTCGGACGAGCAGTTGGCCGAATTGGAACAGCATCTATCGTTCGATTCGATGAAAAAGAATAGCGCGGTCAATTATCGTGACCGAGTCGAGTTCTTCCTGACCAAAACGAACCGGGCCGACAAGCTGACCGATCAGAACTACTTGTTTATGAGACGTGGAGAGGTGGACGGGTGGAAGAGGGAGTTGGAGCCGAAGTTGCAGCATGCGCTTGAAGAGTGGACCAAGCGGAAGGTGGTTAATTCGGAGCATTTGAAGCTTTTTCAATGAGACCCGGTCCAGGGGCATGATGAGCGATAAAGTACAAGTTATTTTTATTATTAGTGTTTTAATATGTACATAAAAAATAATTCTGTCGAAAGGTACTTAAGCATATAGTTTGTAAGTTTTTCAAAGTTAGCATGCAGAAATCGAATGCTTGGTGGTGGTTTTGCTCTGAATAAGTATGAATATCTGAAATATTGTGACTAAATATAAATGTTCACACAAAAAAGGGTTGAATTATATAAATGTTATTATCTAAATAATGAAATCGAATTTTAATTAAAAAAAATATCATCTGGTGTCTTTGAAAAGAATCTTAATGTACTTACTATACTTTTAATTACATTAAATTGTTCTACATAGCAAACACTTAGCTTAAATTATAAGTTTCTTCTTATGCAACCAACGAACAAGTAGCAGTAAATTTCGAAGGCAATGCATGCTACCTTGACAATCATCGTCCATCACATGCATATTCAACACCCATCCGGTAGCTCTAAACTACACCCATGCAGCAGATAACATCTTCCTATCTATTAGCAAATTTGTTTATAATTCAGTTTTATCGTTTGTTTTTAAAACCTACCTTAGGTTGAGGTTCGCACTGACAAAAAGTTCAGTTTCACACTGGGTTGAAACCGGTTCCAACCCCGATAATAAACAAATTCGCTATATGATAAACAAGCACATCTTTAAAAATGATTACACGTGGTCCAAAACCATAAATATTCAAATTTCCCCACACTACTATCATACAGAGGAAGGAGATAACACTCGGGGCTGTCAGGTTTTCTCCATCTATGATCGGGGCTTACTGGCTCTATTTTTAGCTTTATCTGGTTAATCTCTGCGTCATATAGGTACTAGGATGGGTCATCATGATCATTTTTTCAGAACAATGTTTTGACGTAGGATTACGTTTTTCTGCAACATATTGGGGGTGCAATTTCAAAAAAACCAAAATCGACCGTATGACGAAAATAGGTCAGGTTTTGACCACATATAACTCTGTCAATAGCTGATGAATTTTAATTCTAAACAAGCCAAAGAATTGAGAAGTTATCTACCAATCTGCTAAATTGAACACTTTATTAATTTTCAGTAGGTTACTATTGAAAAATACACAAATGTCCAACTGTTGCAATAGTGATCAAAATATCACCGATTACCTGCAAACAGCGCATTCCCTAACACAGATTAAAAAATCGAATTCGATCCTGTCTCACTGAACGGTGCTCATTCAATCACCGTGTGTGGTGGTGTCCGGTCGTCAACGTCAGCAGCAGCAGCAGTGCTTTCAGCGTATGGCGTTAACATTGTTCTCCAGTACACCACGAAAGGCAGCCTGCAAGCAGTGAGCTGCAGAGCCCACATAAGCAACCATAGGAGGAAGAAGCCCCACCGCTAGGAATCAGAATCAGTAGCCCTTCGTGAGTCGCTGCGGGTCGGTCATCTATGCCAAGCGTGTCACCCTCGCTTCAAACAACATACAGCTCGACAGCCTCATCCGTGTTAAACACCCAGCTCAGCATTACTCAACCATCACGACAAAACGGTCCTTCTCAGGACCACCATAAATAGTATTATTTGAACATTTGTCAAGGTTATCCATCTTAGATTCCTACAATAAATTTTCGCATATTTTTCATTTATGGAAAAAGCCAAAAATTCCGTGCGTTTTTTGCACGGAAATGCGTAATTACGTCATCATAAAACGAGGCTTTTCCATGATACCGTGATAGCATGCTAGACGGTACCTATCTTTATGCCTTTTGATGCAAATTTCAAGCCCGTCCTATTAAGAGAATTATGCCAAAAACAAATCTTGCCGAATTCTCTTAATAGGAGGGGCTTAAAATTTGCATCTAAAAGCATAAAGGTAAGTACCGTCCGGTTTGCAGATTCAATTTCCGAATACCAAAATTGATGGGCAGTCTATTCAAATTTCTACAATTGTACGAAGTTATTGATAAGTTTGCGAGTTTATCGATAAAGCCATGTCGCAGCATTTGGCTACACAATACAAGCGCCGTAAGTGCGTAAAGGAAGAGCAAGCGGACAAACCTCCGAAGAAGCAGCCGAAAACTGATGCTGAAAGAAATCGGTGTTACCGAGACAGGATCAGAACAAGGGGGGGGGGGGAGGTGGCTGTCAAATACGAACAATCGTTGCCTACCTCGCATAACTGGTTCCAAACGTAAACAAGCCATAAGAAACCTACAGGGGTTGTTTACGTTTGGAACCAATTTCATACAAGAATTATCAGTAGGCTAATTTTACAGCACGTCCCACCCAAGGATCAGAACGGCTAGCAACGACCTGGACCTGGCTTTATCTACACGAAACGAAAATCAATTATTTTATTCATGTGTTTCACTTATACATTTTTGCCAAAACATCAACCTTATACATTCCATAAGACAAACCTCATAGGTCATATAGGAATGCATAAAACGTAAGTGTGACCGCTTATACATTTCATTTGACACATGATCTTCATTAACTTTTTGCAAGGCGTCTGCTTATTAGTTGACTTATACATTTTATGAATAATCAGCAATAGAAATTTGCCAAAAGGTATAAGGAGATTTCTATCCGTGTACTGGTTGGGATGCTGGAGAAAGGTCTTCAAGACAAGGTAGGACATTTGACTATTTTCCTTTGAAATAAAGATGTACATTGTTTGCAACGCATCTGAGGTAAGTGATAATTCACGATTATTTCTAGAAAAATACGTTTCAAAAGAATAAATTGGTAAACAACATGAGTAAACCTGTTGTTTGCATTGCGGAATTGCATTGCGATAATGTTGTTTTTTAATTATATTTAATTATAACAATTTAATATTTACTATACTTTTGCTGTGACATCATAACTACCTTTCGTAATCCTACGTCAAATCTACGGTCTTGGATACAACCTTTTACTTTTTTTGGTTCCATTTGGGGTCCCAAACAACTGTGCAAAATGTGGGGACAATTGGTTGTAACCCGACTTTTCGCATTGCATTTGAAATTTGTATGGAAATTAGTATGGGAAAACCTACTTTTTTGCATCTTTATTGTACAATTTTGCACAAACAACGCATCTATAGTCCAGGAAGTGCCTAACAACTTTGCTAAAAAATGTATTGTACTAGAATGCCCCTCAAAAAAAGTTATAGCTGTTCAAAGATCAATGTTTCGAATTAAATCCCAAAAATCCCTTTTTCTGCCAACACTGCCGGTGTGCCAATGAAAGTCAGACTCCAAATTTGAAGTTAATTATTTTATCGTTTTGGTATGTTCAGATGAAATATTAAAAAACAATAGATCTATCTCATATGCGTAGTTGGAGGGGGAGGAGGGTTGTGGTCACTCATATCAATAGAAGTAAAGTTTCAAACTGAAATAACTTTGGAGTTTCTTATCTTATCGATTGGGTATGTTCAGATGAATTATTCAAAAACATTTTTTTCAATTTCATAGGCATATTAAGAGATGAAGGGGGAGGGACTAACTATACCTCCGCCCCCTCACTCATATAAATGAAGGTAAGGCTTCAAACTGCAATAACTTCAGTGTTTCTGATCTTGTCAAGTTGGTATGTTCAGATGTATTCAAAAACATGTGCTCCATTTAATAGGCGTAGTAAGATATGGGGGGGAGGGGCTTACTGTATGCTTTCCGGTGCTCACTTATACCAATGAAAGTAAAGATAAAGACTAAAATAACTTCGGAGTTTCCCATCTCTCGAGTTGGTCGGATGGGTTATTCAAAAACATTTGCTTAATCTCATAAGAGCAGTTTTAAAGCGAGTACTACCAACAGCAATACAAAACTAACGATTTTAAATTGGCTCACCACTTTAGTAGCCTATTGGTCCCAAGCAAACGATTAACGTACCCTATTCTAGTTGAAATTCTATTACTACACTATGTTTGTTTTGATTCGCTATGAAAGTTTGACAGATAACATCAGGGGTGTGTGGATTCATGCAGAACATGCAGGGGTGAGTGAAATAGCTTGGGACTGCTTGGGACCGTTATTCTGGTACTGAGTGAGCCAAAAATAATAATGATTTTCTTCGGGACTCAGTGGTCTTAGAGTTACCTCTATGGTACTACCATTCTCTTCCCTACTATTTTGGTGCAATATACAATGTCAGATATATTCACACAAATGTCATTGGGTTGTAATGATTATATTTCATTTTAATATATTCTACGATTTCTCAGGGTACTCTTTTCGATGCTCTTCTATGCTTAGAAGCAAATATAGCTGTTGAACTAGGTCTCGGGTGGATTTCTTGATAAGTCAGAAATTAGCTTCACCCCTCATTCAGCTCTGTTATTCCACTCGTTTGCCGGTTTTTGCATGAAGCCGGTCAAAATTTCGAAAACGAATCAGCACTGTTAGAAATGACGTATGGCTTGGGAGCCCAACTGAAAAGTAACTCACTTAGGCTCTGAACCATTTGGTGGATTATTTTAACTTCTTGTCTGTCAGAAGTAACCACTCTCGGATAGTTAATCAATAACTTTTCATCTGTCAAATTTTAACCAAAACTTAAAATGGTTCAGAGCCTTAAAGTTAGTCCAACAAGCGAAATCCGACTCTACTTGTGTCTGAGACGAAACTGATGAAGACAGTTTTCGTTTTCTCTTGTTTTTGGTTCTTGACGTAAGACTACTTATGTGTTTTCTATATGCGGGTGCCCCGAATGGCAGTTTAATATTTCAAATATTTCGAAAGCTTTGTAAAGAAATTTAAAATTTCCCAGCTGCTAATAATTCAAAATTTCCTCACTAACAAATGAACCGACAAGTGGATATTAAATATTTGCACTACAACAATTTTCATTTTGAATAAATACCTGGGAATGTCTTTACATGGCCGTGGAAAAACAAAGATAAAATCGACGAAGAGAATCTGTCAATGTTACTTAGGACCAAATGCAATGTTCAGCTTGATTTGTATACAGAGTTGGAAAAGGGTCTATCTACTTTGATCGATTCTCTTCATCGACTTTCTCTTTTGTTAACCACCGCTATGCAAACAGTTTTCGTGCTTTTTTTTGCCACATAGCATGGTAAAGGAGGTTTTTATCTATCGTCCAAATCGTCAAATATAACAGGGAATGTTGTTGCAGCTGAGTTATTAATGAAAGAGGAAGTCGATGAAGAGAATCGATCAAAGCAGATAGGCCCTGTTTTGATATCTTTGGATATCCTACAATTTGGTGCGCGCGAACACTAGACTTCTTTATCGAGTTTAAAGGATTAACGCGCGCACATACCGAGTCATATACGGGACTTTCTCAACTTTAGCGAGCCTAGCTAGGAGAACCAGTAGTAGGGTCGCAAAAAGAATACTAGCTTCTTATTTTGTGAAGTTATTCGATAAGCCAACTGTGAAGTTGGGTCGAGCTTCAGACTAAGAATCTTTTGTTTATTGAAATGCATTTTCTTTTATACAGTTTTAGTTACATTGATTCATGAATGTTGAAAAGAGTCATTTGAGAAAAAGGGTGAGACGACTGGAGTGACACCAAAAATTCGCATCCTAGCAATATCGCAAATAATGGTTATATTTTGGTTGAGCTCCCGGCGTTGTCATTCGAAACCTTTCTTGCTGCGCGAACAACCTTGGCCCACCGGGAAGGGTGGAAGAGGACGAGGGAGCGCTGCAGTTCTAGTGACGAGTGACAAACATATGGGTCGTGTAAAGTTGCATAATTGCATTCTTGCCCGAGCGATGGCTCGGTGCCTGGAGTGGATAATTTATTAGCATGGTTCATATTGATTGGGGTTTGTTAGCTATGTGAGAATGGTATACTACACTGTTTTCCAGCTCTGTATAGATTTGTTTAGTATTTCATTAAGTAGTTTTAAATACAGTTATCATTCCCTCGTTGGGAGTTATAATTCAGTACCAACATTTCAAAGGGGCGTAATTGCATTTGTAAACAATGGCTTTAGCCATCGATTTCTCGCGAATAAAAGCTCACTCATGAAAAATAACGACACCAGCAGGTAGAAGAATGTTTCCTCTACCACCTAGCATTGTAATTTTGGAGAGGTAAGATTTGATTCGCGAGAAATTGACGGCTAAAGTCATTGTTTACAAAAGAAATTATGCCCCTTTGAAATGTTGGCACTGAATTCATTGTTGGGCATCTAAAGGGTGGAACGGTCAAAAATTGGTCGACTCAAATTTGGTGAATTTTTTTATCGTGCATTTAAAAAAAAACTTGAGCGCCCCTCATTTTGTGGGTCTGTGCCGAGCACGCAGAGCATTTTAACGCTTCCCTAATAAAAAATTACCACAAACGAACGATAACCCAAATCATTGAACAATTCCACAAATGGTTTGGATGATACCCCGAACACGTCGTTAAGCAAATTAACCATACCATTTTTATTAGGGTTATGAGAAATCCACATTCATCTGCGTATATATCGTGTATGCGGGGTTCTATGTTCAATTTTATTAGAATAGCATAATGTGATTTTTAGTAAGGAGCACATAATAATAAATTTAGAAATACGCTTTATTTTCTCCAGAAAATGGGATGTGGGATATAGGGGACCACTTTCAGGATAAAATCAATTTTTTTTCTCGTATTTCAGAGGAAAAGACACATTATTATAAGCGAAAGACTTACTTTTACATACTTATCGTCTTTTTCACTGAAGTTGGAAATCTTTTATTTTAAATGATTTATTCATTGATACGTTAACGCTCGCAATGCACACAAACCAGCCTAACACATAAAATTCCTGACAACATTGAATAAACAAACTGCAGAAATTCACCTAGCAACCAGGTAAGCATACTAGTACTATAGGTATTTCTTAAGTATTTTTAAGTATTTATAGGTATCTAAGATATCAGTCAGATATTTTTAAGTACATCGCGAGAAATATAAAGTTTAGAGTGGGATGCCCCTAGTATTTTTATAATTTTTTATTCGTGCCTACAATGAAGTAGACAACATTGTTAAAGGCGTCGAAAAAATGCGGATGTTTTCGTTCAGTGTACACAACACATCGAGTATCGCTATACGTTCAGCCGCAGGGTGCCTGAGAGGTGTGCGAGAGTGTGTGGGATTTTGACGTTTCGGATTCAAAACACCGCACCACGTTTTCAAAGCATCAGATCCATTAATTTTCTGGTCCGGGGTCTTCCTCGTGTAAATCGGTAAAATTGTTATTTTTCGTGTAATTTCCTCCTTAAAACGTTCAATATTTGCAGTTTCAAGTGCGAAAGTGACCGATCACCGCCAGCAGGATGCCGAAAGTGAGCTCCCGCTCGGGGCCACCCCGAAAGTTGTCGACCAACAAGTCGACGCACTCGATGAACCCGGAACGCTCGACCGAGGGCTTGAAGGGGGTGGCTAAGCCCCGAAGCAAAGCGACGATCAAGCGGCTGCAGATGTACCGAAACTTCAAGGCCAAGCGCGACAGAAGGGGAAAGATTTTGACACCGGCACCGTTCCAGGGGTGGGTTTCTAGCGGAACTATGGCCCGGGTGGAACCTTCTGTGAAGTGGTTCGCCAACTCGAGGGTGATTTCGCAGAGTTCGTTGCAAAAGTTCCAGGAGGAGATCGGAAAGGCGGTGAAGGATCCTTACAAGGTGGTCATGAAGGCGACCAACTTGCCGATTACGTTGCTGAATGAGACGGCTCGATATCAGCGGGTGCATCTGCTGGATACGGAGAGTTTTGATTCGACGTTTGGGCCGAAAACGCAGAGGAAGAGACCGTCGTTGAAGGTGAGAGATTTAGATGATTTGTCGAAGAATGCGGAGGATTTGGCAGACCGGTACGATGAGGGTAAGGATCGAGATCTGCAACGGGACGATGGAGGAGTGAGGGACCAGGCCAGGGAGTGGATTTTCGCTGCGGGGCAGAGTAAGCGAATCTGGAATGAGCTGCATAAGGTTATCGATTCGGCGGATGTGCTGTTGCAGGTGCTAGATGCGAGAGATCCGATGGGAACCAGATCGAAACATATTGAAGGATTTCTGAAGAAGGAAAAACCCCATAAGCATTTGTTTTTCATTCTGAACAAGGTGGATTTGGTTCCGATTTGGGTGACGCAGCGGTGGGTGGCTTTGCTGAGCAAGGAATATCCGACGATTGCGTTCCATGCTTCAATGACTCATCCGTTTGGAAAGGGAGCTTTGATCAATTTGCTGCGTCAGATTGGAAAGTTGCACATGGACAAGAAGCAGATCAGCGTTGGGTTCATTGGATATCCAAATGTGGGAAAGTCTTCGGTTATTAACGCCCTGAGGAGCAAGAAGGTGTGCAAGGTGGCTCCGATCGCTGGAGAGACAAAGGTTTGGCAGTACATTACGCTGATGAAGAGGATTTTCCTGATCGATAGTCCAGGAGTTGTTTATCCGACGGCGGAAACCGACACGGAAAAGGTCCTGAAGGGTGTCGTGCGGGTGGAGCTGGTTAATAATCCGGAAGATTACATCGAGATAGTGCTGAAAAGGATCCGGAAGGAGTATGTTTTGAAGACGTACGGAGTTTCCGAATGGAGTTCTCATATTGATTTCCTGGAGCAAATTGCCAAGAAATCGGGAAAGCTGTTGAAGAAGGGCGAGCCGGATGTACAGACGATGGCCAAGATGGTTCTGAACGATTGGCAGCGAGGAAAATTGCCATTCTACGTTCCTCCGGAAGGATTCGAGATTCCCAAGTCGGTGTTGGATCAGACTGTGGAAGGTGAAGGCGAAAAGGCCACGACTGAAGACGATCTGAAGAGTACGTTCAGCGGAGTGACGGCCACTCCGACGATTCCCGAGTCGGTCAGGAAGGGCAAGGAACTGTTCCAAATTCAAGACTTCCGCAAGATCAAGGTCAATCTGGACTTTGAGAGCGAGGACGTACGCGAGATTGATAAAATCGATTTGGAACTGCTGGAAAAGCTGAAGGAGGAGAAGAAGCAAGAGGTCAAGAATAAGAGGTTGGCAAAGGGTCAGAATCCGGAGGAAGACGATGAGGATTCGTCTGGAATTTCTGATTTCTATTCGGAGGATGAGTATGATGAGGACATCGGAAAAGTGGTTCACAAGAGTGCCAAGAATAAATCTGCTGCAGCTGCTGCTGAGAAGGGTAAAACCAATTCCGCCAGTGGAAGCTTTGACGTCGAAGAGGAACGCAAGGAACCTAAGGTACTTCCCAAGATGACTGCCAAGCAGAGAAGAGCCATCGAGAGGGCAACGAAGAGGAAGAAGATTGGAAGCAACTTCTACGAAACGCATAACGTCAAGAATAGGAATCGGAACAAAAAGCCGCAGGCACCTTGAAGAATGTTTTTCCTAGCGCTACATTAGTTTAAGATATTGTAAAATAAAATCCATTCAATCTTTAAATTCACGATTTATTTTAATGATTGTTATATTTGGCTCAATTCCTTATATCCTAGCTATTGTTTAGCGCCTTCGCTTTCTGTACAACACTCGACTCACTTCACCTAGGTTCAAATCCGCCACCGCTGGTACCATTTGCTTCGCCCGTAGCTTCGTCAAATGTCCTGGATCCTTCCGGAGCAAACAGCGCTCCTCCTCAGGGCAGTCGCAAAAGTTGGAAATCCTAACGCTACTCCTCAAATCGCTAGCTGTCGTCACCCGAATCGAGTGCTTCGAGCAGAATGGTTTTGCCGCCCAGCTATCCTGGTAGACGCCGTCAATTTTCTGATTGCATCGTTGTCGATCCGGAAATTGATACTGACAGCGGACGATCGAGTACCGGTCTGTGATGGTCGGCACAGAATCTACATCGGGCATCATAGCCAGCGAAAGCGATGGGTAAACCAGAAATGCGAAAAACGTCAACCCTACTAGCACCAGTATCGGTATGAACAGGGCAAAGTACTTGTCCGGAAGGTAGGTCAGTCCGAAACCGTCCAGGATTGAGGTGGGAATGAAGGCCCACAAAACGTAAAGGATGAAAAGCGTTTTGAACAGGAGGAACAAGCAGAATCCATAGATGGCACGGGATGGGGTGGGAGCTGGAGTGTGTTCGGGCATTGCTTTACTCAGTAATGTCCGTACTCGTCCGAAACCGCCGGTCCAAATAGGTCCAACGTTTCACAGCACAGGATCAGCGAGTCGAAAAAGGAAGTCACTCCGACTCGGACGTTTTTGGCTTGCTGACCGTTGAATTCGACCAGCAGTTGGTTGTCGATCAATTTGAATGACTTCTCGATGAAGCTTCGCTTCGGTTCGGTGTCGATCCGGAGTACGTTGAAGGCAATTTCCGCTTCTCGCCGCGATGGAAATGGTACGCTCAGGGTGCTGCAAGGAAATTTACAGAAGCTTATTTATCAGGTACTTGCTAGATCATTACGAATGTTACGTACACAACAATGTTGCTGCCATCATCGGTCATGATCGAGCGGTATCAGTTGGAATAAGTTAAAACTATGATCATGCTCTGGATGAACGGAAAGATTTCTGCAAAAATCGTGCGAACACCCCAAAGGAGAAAATAAACCAATAAAATTTTGACGTACTGACGTTTGGCTTGTTTATCAAAACTGAATACACGCAAAATTAATTTTTGATTAAAATACCCTTTGCTAACGAGGGAATGGTTGCTTCGCCCCTACGGCTGATACGGCCGATACTCTTTGGATATAAAAAAATCTCGCGTCACTTTTCGAATAGGCCGATTATCTTCATCGACTCTCTCTTGCGTAAAAAAGCTTGGCTGTTATCATATTTACGCTCAAAGATAAATTAAATAAAAAAAAGCTTAAATAAAAAAAATAAACGTAAGCGAAAAAGATACGATCCACAACATTAGATTTCGCTGGATCGTATCTGTTTACAGTTCAAAGCGAAGCGAAATATTTGCCAATTGCGTTTTTCACGCAGGTGAAAAATGCAGTATTTTGTATGAGATTTTCGCTTCGCTTCGATCTCTATACAGGCCTTAATCTCTAACGGATATTTTATGGAACTTTACATGAACGTTTATGTGATAAAATTTTAACCTTATGTATTCTGGTTTTTTGGAAGTTAACCTTACAAGTAATGGGCTGTTAAGGTGAATCGCTGTGACATCATTATTATCGGAACCACTTCGAAACTTTAAGCGAGACTTTAATAGCGAATTCGTTTATTATCGGGTTGGAACCAGTTCCAACCCAGTGCAAAACCGAACTTTTTGTCAGTGCGAACCTCAACCTGAGCTAGGTTTTAAAAACAAACGATCAAACTGACGTTTGTCAGAAAACAAGCAGACCCAATCTTGATACCCGATCCAGGTTGGAACTGAGTATTAAACGAATTCGTTATAAGTGTACAAATATGAGCTTCTACGACACGTGCAAAATTCAAATTGTTACTCCACTCCGATTTCCAAGATTTGTGTAATTTAAAATTCGAAGTGGAACTGCATGTATCGAGGCATGTTTAGCCTACGTGGTAGCCATTTGTGGAGCCTACAAGGAATCTCCTTAAGAGCCATTACCATTCAAAATTCTTGTTTTATCGATACATTTTCGGAAAAGGAATTATATTAAAACCTTTTCATTTATGATTTGATTAAAATGACTTGTATATCCTTGAATGTTTCGTGTGCTTGTCAAATTCATCTAGTTTTTGGAATCAAAAGCAATATTCTAATTCTATTGATTAATTGATCTTAGTTGGTTAATTAATGGCACCGAGAAATGTGCAAAATATTGCGATGCAATCAGTTATTATTTTGCACGTTAATCGAATCAAAAGTAACGGTCATGTGAAATGCTAGCTTCTAGCAAGGGTTGCAAGATAATTTAGGTACAAGTCTCTGCTGCCGAATTGTATTTTGTTTTCTCCACCCATCTCTCCCTCTGAGTATTTCTAATTTTTACGGTTGGATTGGAACAAATTTTGATAGAATTCAATACTTTTACTTAGAGTGCTTTAGCAGGGGTGGGACGTAGCTATCAAATATGTACGAACAATCTCTTGGGAGGAATGGAGTAAAGCATTATAGCGTCTTGTCCGTAAGAGCGACGACAAAGGAAAGCACGAATTTTATTCAAATAACTCATGGCTAATTTAGACCTATATTATCTCTACTCTGCAGCTCTTCACGTTGCTAAATGCACCGCTTCACTTCTCGTCAACGTCAAAGAACTTCAGAAAGATCATGGTACTGAACTTCTCCAGCTTAACTCTCGCCAAAGGCTTCGTGAGTATGTCTGCGACCATTAATTCCGTTGAACAGTACCTGATTTCCATCACGCCAGTCGACATCAGTTCTCGCACAAAGTTTAACCGTGTATGAATGTGTTTGGTTCGTCGGCTCCCTCCTTCGGATGACAGCATGGCGATGCAGCTCTGGTTGTCCTCGTGCATCACGACTGGCCCATCGACGACCTCGCCTATGTCCTCCATTAGCTTCAACAGCCAGACTAGACTCGGATAGCGCAACGTACTCAGCTTCTGTAGACGACAGGCTGACACATTGCTGTTTCCTAGCGGCCCAGCTGATTGGACCACCTCCGAGCTCAAAAACGAACCCGGAATTTGATTTTCGATCCGATTGGTCACCAGCCCACTCTGCATCCACAAATTCTTCGAGACCGCCGGTTCCGCCAAGCTCAAGCTTCAAGTCAGCTGTTGCGTTGAGGTACCGTAAAGTCCTCTTCGCCTCGGACCAATCCGCTTTGGTAGGTTGGCTCACCTTTCGTCCCAGAATAGACTCACCAATCGCAATATCGTGCACACCGCAACGTATGACAAAGCACCGACCAGACTCTGGTAGCGCTCGCCGGATGGCATACACTTCTCATAAACCGCCAGATACCGAGCCAAGAGCTATAACCTTGGAAATCCGACATCCTGCATCGTCGAAAATGACAGTGGTGCCGTTCTTCGTTGCAGATCGTACAGAGAACAGATTCGATTCAAGATCAGGGACAAACAGCGCATCATTAAGGGTCATGCTGTTGATATTTCCTTCTTCACCAACGCACTGAATCGGACACATACCTTTTCCAGCCGATTTGGTCTTCATTCCATTCGCCAGCATGATGTCTTCGGAGACGGACTCGTCCAGTGACTCGAAAAACTCCTTGTTGGCTGCCATGTGGGACGTTGCGCCAGAATCAACCACCCACAAGTTTACGTCATTGCCTACACACAAAGAAAAATCGTTGCTAAAATTAAAAAAAACATTGTTATAATTAAAAGTTTGCATTGGTTCTTTTTGGTAGAAAGCAGTTAGCTTTCAAAACGAAAGTCAATCAACTGTCAATTCAAAAAAAAATCGGCCATTCATTTTAAAAGTTTAAACTTTCAAAACGAATTGTATTACTGTCAAATGAAAAGCCAGACAGTGTTGAAAGAAAAATATATTTTTTTCTAATTCAAATCAAACTTTTAAAATGACATATGATATTTTCAATCGTAAATTTAAATATTTTCAGTTAAAAAACCATTATTTTCAATTTATTCAAGTCGCTTTACATTTTATATTCTAATATGTGTTTTTATTTGGTTAATACATAGATCCAGACATATTTTTATCACTTGACATCAATAACAATAACAATAACAATAAATCATTATGACTGCCCGATTTTCAAAAACGTCGTGGCGATGGGTGGCTTCCTTCCGGACATCAGTCACTGATTTGGAAAATGGGGAACTATTTTATTTGATGCGCTATTTGTTGTTGAAAAACTGAGGCAAATATGTGAATACTGCGGAATTCCTATCACCGAGTTGAAGACTCGGTTGAACAACACATGCTGATGTCGTTGCTGCACTACGTTGATCACGTACATGATAAATCCTCCATCACACACAAGGGGAACAAAACAGGCATCTGTGGTGGAAACATTCGAATCGGCGGAACACCCGTAAATCGAAAATATTCAGCTAATGATGCCGTATCGGTCATGGGTTGATTTTCCATATTGGGAGATCGAACCAGAGCGTTAGACTGGGTCATTTGTAAGAATGAGTTCCGTTCCACTGAAAATTACAAACAAGTTTGAACAACTCTTGAGGTAATGTCCTGGATAATGTAATGCATAATTACCTGGATACTAGATGAATTCAATCCGTTGAGTCAAGTTTGTCCAAATCTGGTGCTCTGAACTATGATGAAGTCCAACATTGGCCCTGCGAAACATCTTCAAGAATGTCGGAAGTTGAAAGCGATAATCTGCATCCCGGTTAGCTTTCCGGTTCCGGTTCTGCAACATTAAAATTAATAAAAATTATATATGCGATCATTCCCAAAAATTCTCACCTTAATTATTTTCTGCCTGGTAAATCCGGTGGAAGCTGGGGTGGAAGCAAAGTGAGTGAAGTGTAAACTCCATTTCCATTCAATTGGAAGCTGCTTCGCCTTGTTTTGTGTCGCTCGTCATATTTAGCGCCAAACCGAAGTCCAGTGCTGCCAAACACATCGCAATGAAGAGGTATTTTTGACAGTTCAACAACTTTTATTTCAAAAAATCACTTTTAAAATTACGAGTCGAAAAGTAAAAGAAACACTTTTAAACCAAAAAAATAACTTTCGTTTTGAATATTTTCAATGTTAAAACTACACAATTTGGAAAACTTTTAATTTAAAATTACATTACTTTTATAGCAACAATATTTGTTCTTTGTGTGTATGGTTGCCATGAAAGCATACTCGTCCGAACCGCATCGAACTGCCTTCGCCTTCGTAGGTCTGCTGGCTTGCTTCGAGTCATGTTTCTTTGGTGGTTGTGCATCCTTGCTCTGGGCCAGCAAACGACAATCCTTCAGCTTGTGGCCAACTTTATGGCAATGGTGGCAAACGATTTGCCTCTTCGTACCTGCCTTCGAATAGATCTTGCATCTCGGTTATGTGCTTGTCGATATCCTCCCCATCGGTGTACCGCATGTCGGAAAGTTTCTTGAGGATGGATACCTTCGACGTGAGCGTCGTACGCTCGTAGTTCCTTTTAAGTTCTCCCACGCTTCCTTTGAAGTAGTGGTGTTCTGGATCAGATTCCGTTGGCTATCGTCTACCAGAAGACCGATTGTAGCCCTTGCTTTCTGGTCACATTTTCGCCACGCCGCTACCGCTGCTGCGTTCGCTTCCGTTTGCACTGGGCACGTGCCAGTCACGTACTCCCAGAGATCCTCTCGAACCAGCAACAGCTCAACTTTAAAATTGCTGGGCCCATAACCTCTTGAGAGGAATGGAGCAAAGTAAAATACACGGATTCGAATTTTGTTCATTTAAAACAAAAATATAAATGTTTATACTCTAAACATATGAATTATTCAAAGTAAATTGAAAACATGTTTAAAACTAAAATATTTATGTTTGAATTAAATTCAAAAGCATGTTTATTTCAACAATATAGGATTTGGGTAAACGTTGACTCAACTAATAAAATAATTCCAAAATACGTATGTTGATTTTAAACATGAGAAGCATGTTTAAAATAAACATGTTTATTATTTTTCGCATAGCTGTCAAACCAAACAAAAATTAATACGTTTATTTTCAACACGAATATTTTTGAAATAAACGTAACATTATTTTTAGTTTAAACATTGATTTCACATGACTTTAAACGTGGAATACGTTTGAAATCAACCTAATTTATGTTTGTTGCCAGAACAAACTGAGTTTACGTTTAAATTTACCTCAAATATTTTTGTTACGACAATAGTTTTTTCTGCGTGTAGAATTAAAAGTTTGCGTTGGTTCTTTTTGGTAGCTTTCAAAATAAAAGTTAGCCAACTGTCAAATCAAAAGTAGTCCACTCACTACTTTTAAAAGTTTAAACTTTCAAAATGAATTGTACTACCAACAATCAATACGAAACTAACGATTTTAAATTGGCTCACTACTTGACTAGCCTATTGGTCCCAAGCAAACGATTAACGTTCCCCATTCTAGTCGAAATTCTAGTACTACGCAATATTTGTTTTGATTCGCTATGAAAATTTGACAGATAAAATGAGGGGTTATTGGTTTTTCCTATGTTTCGAGGGGTGAATCGATTAGCTTGGGACCGAAGAGAGTACCAGAGCTGAGCCAAAAAGCAAGCATGGGAAAATTCATTCACTCGCGCGAGCACCACAGAATCAAAATAGCCGTCCTCGCCTACAAACAGATTGCCGAATGAGTGTAAATTCTTCCTACCAAGTGACTCTGCAGCTCGACTCAGAACTGACAGCAGTAGAAGGAAATAAGGATAAACTGAAAGGCAGCCGAACAATTTTCTCTAGCGAGGGAGAACCAGATGCTAATCCGAATGCTAACGATTTAAATAGCCGAGTCAGATAGTTTTTGGCTCACTGATTTAAATCAGTTGAATTGGCCACAGCAGTTTTAAGTTATTTGCGTGACGCTCATGTTTATGTGTTACAGTATAACAGTTTTCTCGATATTAATAGCGATTTAAATGTGTCAATGTATGTTTAAAGCAAGAAAATAAAAAGTAATTCTTTCTGCAAAATTCTCATTCAGCTCACTCAGCAGAATGCAATCGTAAAAGGCTCAGCATGGAAAAAATAATAAGAGAGGAATCATCCACACTACTACACTCAGAATCATTCATGTTACGCTCAGCTGTCTGTTTTGCTCAATTCTGCATTCATCGAAGAAAATAGAAGCAATGCGAATACGAACAAAATCAGTTCGGCTCGCACAAGCTGCTGTTCGTTTCTGATGTTGTATGCGTGTGAGTGAGTTGAGAATGCAAAATGGAACGATTTTTCCCATGCTTGCCAAAAAGTTGTGAACGTTATTTCGGAACCTTCTAGTCTTAGAGTTACCTCTATGGTACTACTGTTGGTACTACCATTCCACTACCGGCATTGGCGAGCTGCTCGTTTCTAGAGCCGTATAGACGTCCTTCAGGTAGTTCCAGGTAGGTTTTCACGTTCTAATGGACGACCGGATTCTACTGAAAGATTCAATATTTTATTCGGGATCGAGACAGGGAATAATTTCAATACTGAACTGTTGCATGGGTCGATGCACAGGCTGGTGTCTGGTAAAATGTTTCACCTATTGTTTGGCCTTTTTTGTTTTTATATTCTCACGCTACCGTAGAATAACCCATAAAAAGGTAGAAATCTACCCATGAAGAAGTAATTTTGACAGTAAAACCACAAACGAAGTGACAGACGACTAACTGGCGAAGAAATCCATTTGAATAATGTGGTTCACTGTAATAGAATTTTCTTGGAAGCTTGTGCCATCATCCACCAGATGGGTTAGTTTTTTTGTTTTGATTTGAACAAAGTTGATTTTGTGTACAATGATTCTTTGACAGTGTGCAAAGAGTGCGTATCATTTTGTCATTTTTTATGCATTTCAGTTTTGAGTAGAGTGAAAGAGATAGAACCAAAACATTCTAGTACATTTGGTAAAAATGCTAGTTCAATCTAGTAGTAGTGTTGCCATGTGATACAATCCAGTAGTAGTGGTGTTGCCATGTGGTACACTAAAAAATTGCAATAGCAGGTTAGTCACCAAAGTTTTCGAGCCGCTCCGTCTGTCACTTCGTTTATGGTACATAAAACAATTTTCGATTTGAAAATTTGAGCTTTTAAAACTACAAGATAAAATCAAAACATTCGTTTTTGAATTGAAAAATACATTGTTAAATTAAATATTAGGGTAACGAATTTTTTGATACTTTTAAATTGAAAGGCCAATATTTTTACTGGTACAATTTTTGTTTTTTGTGTGTACATCAGCTTCAATTACATTGATCGATATTACATTTTTTTGCTGTGTAGGATGATTTGATAGCACGTCCTTCCGTCCATTGACAGATTCTTTACTTCGACTTTCTCTTTGCATTCTCATGGCCATGTTAACACATTTCCAACTAATTTCAGCACAAAGATCGATGAAACAAGCTTTTATCTAGCATTTTTACGAAAAAAAACGACAACAAACGGTTAAGTATTGATGAATCTACGCGAAACTGCACCAGTGCATGCGACACCTTGATTTGAAATCCAAAACCACAAAAGTGATGATGTACTAAAAAATCTTCCATATATACGATTTGACAGCTACACTCAAATTAAACGACTGATATTTTTCATGTGCGTAAAACACATAGATTGTAAGCACAGAAAAAAATTTACATATTTTGTGCGACTTATAGAAATTATGTGTGGTACTTTTAAGTAACATTATGCATTGATTGAATTTGAAGTGCACTGATATAGAAAACAAAACAATAGCGCATAAAAATCAAAAACAAAACATAAATAAAACACGAGATCAGCATAAAACAAAAAAGGCACCAATGCAAGATAACAGTTCGGTTTCGCACATAGTTTTGCAGAAATTGAACCTGTGGGTTGAGTTACTTGAACTGTTCACAGGTAATTAGTAATTGATTTATTTTGTATGCTCATAAATACATGTACTTTTGGTTGTAGAAGAACACCACCAACAGACTCAAAACGATAACAAAGGACGAACTCATCGACGACCTACAAGGATCTGGTTGGCTTTGTGACTGAGACGCGTTATTCGAACGCATTGCCGACTGGCGGAAGTTAATCGTAAGTATTAATTAATATGATTTTCATTTTCAAATACGCAGTTCTCATCATCAAATATGCTATGTACCTATTACAGGGATTGAATTCACAACGGTAGAAGAAGTCTTGGAAGACTGGCTGTGCAGTGAAGACCACGACGTCAACGTTTCAAAGCAACCGGAGGATTCTTTGGAAACATCGAGCTACTCTGAGCGAATCAAGTTTTTCGAAGCCTAACAGTGTAGGCGTTCCCGATAGCAGACCAACTGATTTATCTGATGCTAATGCAGTAAGCGCCGGTTCTTCCTCTGACGTACCATCCGCGGAGCACGCCACCAACGAAAAAAACAATTCCTTTCCCACGAACGCAACGAAAGCTTTCTTTGGTCATCGTGAGCTGGAATTGCTGTTGCGCAGTTCTCTGACTGGGGAAACGTCACCTTTTAGTGCTCTGAACGAAAAAAACAATTCCTTTCCCACGAACGCAACGAAAGCTTTCTTTGGTCATCGTGAGCTGGAATTGCTGTTGCGCAGTTCTCTGACTGGGGAAACGTTCGTTCAGAGCACTAAAAGGTCTACCCTTCGAGAGAAGCCAGAAGGAATTATCAGAAATAATTATCCGAATAATTACCGAACACCTATATACAATCTATGCAATATAAAGAAACTATGCAATTTAAAAGTAGTTTTGGTTTAATTATATATTAGTGGTGAAATTATTTAAATTCAATTATTATAGAGCTCCCCTGCTATGAAACTCGCAATAGTCTTCATTAATCTCACAAATACAAATCATTTGCAGTTTGTATTCACAAGCACTAGATTATCATAAAAATTCAAAAGAACTGCTTATAAAACTATCTTGATTGAATCAACAAGATTTCATAAGCGCCACACATACTTTTCATGTGCTTAAGTAGCTGGTCAAATTTTAAGTGCCGTGCATATAAATACAATATGCACTATAGCAAAACGTCATTATCATTTTCGCATCATTTCCATCTGCTGGCCGACCGTAACGTAGATTCATCAATACTCAATGACAATATGATCTTTCTGACGTTCATAACACGCGCACTTGGGTAACTCCATTTTCAAGCACGAAGTTTGTTATCCTCACTTTCGCTTCAGCCAAAAATGTTGGTTTGTTATTGTTATCCTCACTTTCGGCCCATCAATACTCCTGTGCTCGCTCTTGTGCATAGAGATTTTTGACGTTTAATCGACGCACACTAATGCATTATTTAAACTGAAGGAGTGTGAGCAAGAGAGAAACAGATTATTGGGAAACAACCCATCCATTCATCTGGATAGAGAAAGACGATTAAACGTCAAAAAGGTCTATAGAATGGAATACCCACACTGATAAATTAAACTATTCCCATTTTGCTTGAAATTTAATCAATTTGACATTGAACGCAGTTTAATCATATCGAATGATTAAAAATTAATACGCTCTTTCTAAGAAATAAGCATCTGGCATTAATCCCAGTTTATTAATGGTTGATTAGATTGAAGATTATCTTTTTTGAATAAATTTTAATCATTTTTGATTCTATTTTAATAATTTTTGATTGAATTTTAATAAAATTTAGTACTGGAAAGATTATTATTAATCATGCATGACTACTGCCAAAGTAATCATGGCTCGGACTCAATAAGGTGAAGCGGGAATCTGCATACTTTTAAAGCTTTTTCGATTTAATTAATCTTTGAGTGCAAGTTGCCAACGACAGAAAAAGTCGATGAAGAGAATCGATCAATCATACTTAGGACCTAATGCATAGATCAGCTTGATTTCATCGATGTACTCGATGCAGATTTTTTTTCTTCAAAATACCCCTGGCATCCCTGAACTACTGTCAAAACTGATTTTTTTGGTTTTGTTCTTTTGTTTACCTTTTACGTTCGTCTCGAACACTCGTCAGTCCGGTCCGGTGTGGGTACTTTTCGCTGCGGCCTTCGGTTCCTCCGGTTCCCCCGGTTTCTCCAGCAGCAACGTGGGTCTCCTTGTCCGACCGAAGTGCAGAAAAGGAAGGAGAAAAACATACGGTAACTTTACTACCACCACCACCACCCAGTCAGCCATTCGAGTTCGCTCGTTCGTTCGTTCGATTCGACGGCGATCATCATTTACAGTTCGATCTTCGCCGCGATCGGTTGCACCCGGTTTAGTTTTTTTGCGTCGAAGAAAAAAAACGGGGGATTCCACCACCGTTGTCGTCGTCGTCATCATTATCAGCGTCGCCGTGTCCGATTAGGGGAAAACTTTCACCTCCAAAAAATATTGCTGGTTCCATCTGCATGCTGTAATCAGCTGAGACGACAATCTCCCGAAAGATAGTCGTGGGAATTTGGTTCGGTTCTTTGAGTAAGTTGGTTGACCGTCATCAGTGAATCGACCTTTGTTCGTGGGTCTTTAATCGACTTCATTGACCTCGATTGTGTGGATGTTTGTCGATCCGTCGTCGACGTCATCAGAATCAGTTTGAGTTTGTTTTCATCGGAAGTCTCGCATCGCCAAGAAGAGAATGATAAGAGAAAGTCCGTGCCGATTCCGAAAGATGATTGAAAAGTGAAGTCGTTGCGAAATTGGCTGCAGTGGTAAAATAATAATTGGAAGCAAGTGCTGAAAGCAGGTTGGAAATTAAATAACGAAAAACGCAAGAGAAGAAAGAGAAGCATTTAAAAAAAAAACGTGTGAGGTGTGTGTGTGACCCACTTTCAACGGGTATCCGGTTTTTGATTTTCGTGTGCGCTTTTGGAATTTTGTCCGGTTTATTTACGTTGTCCGTTTGCTGCATTTCTTAGTAGTACGGTGGTGGAGTGTGATCCAAAGTACAGCAAGATTGTCGCCGATTGAAGATGGAATCTCTGAAGAACAGTGAACCGAATACGGCCGCCGAGGTGGCGGCGAGCAGTGCTGCATCTGCGGCATCCCATGTCAAGGACGAGGCCAGGAAGAATTTGGATTTTATCATGAAGAATCTGTTGGCTGGAGGTATGTTTCGATTTTGCGGGGGATTGATTTGATTATTTGTCGCTATTTGTAGGCTAGTTGGATTGACGTCATTTGGTTGAGGGGAAGACCAAAATAGCCATTCATCAAGAGTTTGGGAATATTTTTATCCTTTGGACCCCTGCAAGAGCGCATGTTGATAATATTCGGCACCTTGCTGCTTCATCGTTTCGCACTTTAAAATGCTGCATCGAATCATTTCGAAGCTGTTTTTTTTTCGGCGAAAACAACGTCGAAGCAGACAAGCAAAAAACCTTGTAAAGTACATAATAGGCTGAAAGCGCATCGAACTCACTACACGATGGTTCCGACAAGTTGTAAAACTCATCCACATTGTCTTTACTCGGCTCAGCCACACTTTTGTGCTGTGATGCAATCCGTAATTCACCTTCCTATACTTTTACCATTGTTGTTGTTGCTGTTGCTGTCGGCAAGCAGTAAGGGGTTTGTGGTTTTGAGCAAACATAATAAATGACATCGACAAAGGGATGGCACAACCAGAGGAGTGTACTGATGTTTAAATTGGCTGGTCTTCGAGAGCCCATACCTTCTAGCTAACAAACAATATGTGACAAATTGGAATGACGATTACTTCATCTTCTTCATACTAACCGGATTGCCATCGTTGTTCTTGCTTGCAGGTGTCGCCGGGATGTGCTCAAAGACGACGGTGGCTCCGCTGGACCGGATCAAGATTCTGCTGCAGGCGCACTCGATCCACTACAAACACCTGGGAGTGTTCAGCGGGTTGAAGCAAATCGTCAAGAAGGAGTCGTTCATTGCACTGTACAAAGGGAACGGAGCCCAGATGGTGCGGATATTTCCGTACGCGGCGACCCAGTTTACGGCGTTCGAGGTTTATAAAAAGGTTGGTCGGAAATTCTCTCTAAATGTTCTGTAAACTTGACATTTGAAATGAAAGTAACGTTTATATTTTTTATTTAACGTCGGTCTCCGTTCCGCAATCGAGTGCCATTCACCGATGCAATTTACTTCTATTATAATCTCACATGGTTCGTTTGAAATGATTAAATGCAAGCAGAAATCGCATTTAAACCCTCTCCTTTTCATTGAATCTTTACTTCTTGAAAAACATCTGGGCGAAACTAAGTACCTAAAATTCCCAAATCGTACCCTGAAGTTCTATGAGCTGCTGCGAATTTCCATGACAGAGTGTCTACTAACTGGAAAAATTTCAAATAAAGGGAACCTTTTTTTCCTGGAAAAACCTGGAATTTTCAGAGAATTTTGTAATTCTAGTGTAAAGCAGTAAGTATCAATCAATCATTCTTCAAAATTATAATAGAATATATTGAAGTACGGCGATAAACTTTCTCAAGAATTTCTATTATTTTATAATACAACCAACTTTATCTTCTTCATCATTCCATTTTACTCATTGAATATAGTAATTTTGAAGTGGATTTTTTTAATTCGTTTATTTTTCCAGGCTCATTTGCTGTAGTTTTGCGGAGCCGATATTCATTGCTTAGATCACAAAATTACTTAAAACTAACGATAGTAAAGCGGGGGCCGATTACTTGAGGTTAGGGGTAACAAATTGTAATAAATGGATAGCAGGGTAGGGTTTAAGAACATAAGGTTTGGAGAGCAATGTGCTCTTGATCTCGAACTAAGCGACATACTGATGAAAAAGACAAACAATGGGGGTACACCGATGGGCAGCTAACAACTTGGGAGAACATAAGATGACACTAACTACTAAATCCTCAAATCTATCCGTTTTAAAAACACATAAATTAAATTCAAATAGTTGAGATCTCGGCTCGCCAAGACATCTCTAACGGGTATCGTCGGTTTTTTTCCTCGGGCCCTGAGGGATGTGGATAACTCATATCTGACAACACGGTGTAGGTTACATGACCAAGCAACAAGCTCGATATCGTGATAACCACTGCCATACGCATATAAATTGCTACCTGAGAGATCAATTCGATAGAAGTGCCAGTCTAACGCAATATGTTTTCCCCATGTGCATTTTGAATCGAACCAGACATCTAAATACTTAAAAGAAATGCTTTGAGTGATTGTTTTACCAATTAGCTGAAGCTGTAGCTGTGCAGAATGATGCTACCTAGAAAAAAAAACAACCAGCTCAGTTTTCTTCGGAGAGAATTCGATACCCAGCTTCATAGCCCAAGAAGACAAATTGTCCAAGGTATCTTGCAATGGTCGGACGCAACGGACACAACGCCGTCATCTGGAAGCTGCCTTAGCGAGCAATTTTCATCAAGACAACCATCTATGTCTTTTACATAAAAATTATAAAGAAGGGGGCTTAAACATGAGCCCTGGGGGAGACCCATGTAACTAATTCGTGAAGTTGTCGAGTTTCCATGAGAAAATCTCATATATTTCTCAGACAACAAGTTGCTCAAATAGTTGTTCATAATTGGTGAAAGCCCACTATCGTGGAGTTTATCCGAAAGGACATCGATACAAACAGAATCAAAATCCCCCTTAATGTCCAAGAAAACTGAACCCATTTGCTGTTTTTGTGCATAGGCCAGTTGACTTTCAGTTGAAAGCAACGCAAGACAGTCGCTCGTTCCTTTGCCTCTCCGAAATTCAAATTGCGTATCTGAAAGTAAACCATTCGACTCGACCCATTTGTCTAGACGAAAATGAATCATTTTCTCCAACAATTTCCGTATACAGGACAGCATCGCGATGGGACGGTACGAGTTATAATCCGACGCGGGTTTACCAGGTTTTCGAATGGCGATAACTCTTACTTGCCTCCAGTCATCCGGAACAATGTTGTACTCCAGAAATTGATTGAACAAGTTCAACAAGCGTTTCTTCGCGAAGTATGGCAGATTTTTAAGCAAGTTGAACTTGATTCTATCGATTCCTGGAGCTGAGTTGTTACATGAAAGGAGCGCAAGTGAGAATTCCACCATCGAAAAAGGGGAATCTATTTCGTTATTACTCGACGGACGATCACGAAGGTTGGTTTGAACCGACACCGAATCCGGGCAAACTTTCCGCGCGACGCTCAAAATCCAAATGTCTGAGTACTTCTTGTCTTCTTTGACCGGTGATGACGCGTTTCGCATTCTCCTGCCGACATTCCAGAGTGTTCTCATGGAAACAAACCTTCGACTAACCGACGCCAGTAACCGCGTTTTTTGACTTTAATCAAGCCCTTAAAAGTTTTCTCGAGGTCGGTGTACCGCTCGAAATTCCCGACCTTACCGTGTTTGCGGAAGCGTTTAAAGGCGGCGGACTTCTCGCTGTTTGCGTCGGTGCAATCCTTATCCCACCACGGAGTGAGAGGTCGTTTGCGAACGGAACCACCCGGAACGCGTTTCGTCTGTGCGTGAAGAGCGTAGTCAACGATAATTCGCGATAATAAGGAGTACTCGTCCAGTGGAGGGAGTATCTCAACCGATTCAATACCACCGAGAACCGTGGTCGCAAATTTTTGTCAGTCGATGTTTTTCGTGAGGTCGTACGCGATGTCAACCGAGCTAGTGGAAGATGAACCATTGGTAATAGAAATTTTGATTGGCAAGTGGTCACTACCGTAGGGATCTTGAATTACTTTCCACGAGCAATCCAACGATAGTGAACTCGAACTGAGGGAGAGGTCTAATCTACTTTCTCTTGCTGGCCACTCGTGTTACTTCCCCAGTGTTTAGAATTGTCACATTGAAGTTATCGCAAAGGTCGTATATCAGGGTTGAGCGGTTGTCATCGTACAGTTCCCCCCAGCCTGTACCGTGGGAGTTAAAATCTCCTAAGATCAACCGAGGCTCAGATAAAGCTGAGCAGATATCTGAGAGACATTGGCCTTAAATCGCAGTTCTTGGAGGAAGATATACTGAGGCAATACTGAGGCTTTTACCTCCAATATAGAAATCATCGAGAGAAGTCCCTCCCCTTGGCTAGTTTTTGCACCTTGCTGTTGGTGGGCGGGCTTAATTTCATGCTTTTTATTGGAGTGTTGGAGACGGTAGCTTTATGGCCGGTGTTGCTGGCTCATGCCGCGTTAGAATGGCGCCATGGGCAGGCAATGGGGATTACTAAGCTTCCCCTCTCTGATAAACCACTGCATGAGAGAATCAAAGATCTAATCAAGCAGTGATATTATCACACTTGTTACTCCTTTGATTGAGAGCCGCGTCGTAGTACGCTTACGTATAGGCACTGACGTTGGGTGTTATACTGGCGGGTTTTGCCGCAAATCACTCTTATTTTATTTATTTTTACGCAGATATATTTATTTGGGTTTGCAAGGGAATTATACTATTGAAATATTTTAGAAATTGCCCAACGGTGCTCCTTCTATTTGCGTGACAAGCTTTCATTGTTGTTTGCATTGAAGTGTTGTTCAGGAAACAATGTTAAACATCATTTTTGTACATGGTATTGTAACTTATCCTATATGTGCTTCTTTTTGATTTGGGATAAGTGTTTGAACTATGGCTCGGGATTTCCACTGTGGCGTGTTTCTATTGTGACATACTCATACGTATTTTTGTGGTGCGACATAGTGGAAGCGTGTGCGCATAGTTGGAGCATAGGGTATATGGGGTATATAATTTAAAAAATCAGCTAGGAAACTAACTTCAAAATGAAGCATTTTAGTCACATGAAGATGTTACCTGGGTCGAACTAAGATATAATAAATAGGTATAGGCTTAAATCAAAAGTACTTGAAATAAACGTGTTTAGATTACAAGCACGAGTGCAGGTACTTAATAAAACATGGGTTATGATTGATTAGATGAATTAGAGCTTTTAATAATTTATTAAATTAGACTAATGAGATATAATAATCATCAAACGAACTTAAATAAGAAACTTCAGAAAGTCTAATGACATTAAGTAGATTGACAAAAGAATTAGGATGCGGGGGTCCGCTTATTAAGCAGATTAACAAGGAGAGGAATAGTTTAGGAAATAAGTAAAAGTAGAGGCATGTGACAATTAATAGCTTTTAAACTTTTGGAGGTATTGTATTCCCCTGAGTTTGACTCGATTACTATATTATTCTCTCAATACGCGAAATCTCTTATATATGCGGTTAAAGCATTTGAGGTAACTTATTTCTTAGTGTTCAAGTACTTACATTTGTAAACAGCAGTCAATGTTAATCTATGAACTAAACCCTACGTAAAATCGATCTTTCCTTATGTGATATTGATGCATGTAACTTTTCGCGGATGTCGGAATCAACGCGCCTACGTCTACGGAGCTCACGCATAAGTGATTCGCAATGCGGTAGTTTTTTTGAGCTTCTGTAGTATAGAATTTGCTCGGTACGGTCGCGAAATCTTGAAATGATTGATACGTGCGGTAAAATAACTAAATTGAAACAAAGCTCAACAGTAAAATAAGTAGAATATTTAGGGAGGAAACCAAAATTAATCAACTTGCCAACATAGGCTATCACATTTATTTTGGTGGCACTCTTTAAGTGATAATAAGCTGTTTTTTTTTCTCTACGGTTGTTTCGCGTGGCGTTCACAATTTCGTATCTTACGTAATTTAGATATTTAGCTCTAAACGGTTTTACTTACTCGAGGTCGTTCCTTAAGCGGTGTTGGTACAGGTTACCGACTTTCGGATTCAACGCGCCTACGTCTACGGAGCTTACGCAGAAGTGATACGCAATTCGGTAGAGCTTGTCAAACGCTTTTGAGCTTATGTAGTATGAATTTGTTCAGTACGGTCGCGAAATCTTGAATTGATTGATACGTCCGTTAAATTAACTAATTTGATACAAAGCTCAGTAGTAAATAAGTAGAATATCTAGAGAGGAAACCAAAATTAATCAACTTGCCAACATAGGCTATCACATTTATTTTGGTGGTACACTTTAAATGATAATAAGCCTTT